GTATAAAATGTTCGGTGACACCCGAACTTAGCCCTTCCTTAATTGTTTTTTTTTTTTTTTAGTTTACTATACGACGTTTACTTTCAGTTTTCGCTTTCTGCTAGATGCTCGGTCACTATTTCCCTTCTAGCTAGATTATTTTTAAAGAGATTTAAGCAAAAATCGTTTTTTTAAGCTTCTAAAGCAAGCTCCCCTCTTAAGCAAATTGCCTTTATTCGCAAAATCGAAAAACGTCATTAAAAAAGTTGTAGCAAAATTTTAAGAAATAAAACCATATCTGCCGTTAAATCTATGGACTACTATAAATATTGAATGTAATACCACCGAACTGAGCAGTAAATATGATAGATAAATTAAAATCACTTGTAAAGTGATATATATTAATTTATTTTCTGAGTAATAGGCACTTATTTATTTAATTAAGCAGTACATCCATTTCTATTTTGATAGCAGCCATCTTCTCTTGAAAGGCGCTACATTATTATTTATTTAATTAAAGCAATCTTACAACTAAACTACAGTTAACTGAGAGAGATCGAGTTATAGAGAAGGCGCAATAGTTATCAGGTTTAAGCATTCAATAAATGTCCGAGCTCTCCTCTCATAAGAATTTGTTAATTTAGGCCCCGTTACGGCTATTACCCTAACTACATTTTGGTTGAAGGAATTCGGTTATATGGTTTTTAGCACAACCCGTCGGAAAAAAAATTGGGTTAAAGTGTTGTCCAACCTCGCCTTTATTTTACGGTTATCAACTCTGTGCTAGTCGAGTTGACTAGAGTATCAAAAATGTTCAACTCTTAAGGAGCAGGTGCAGTTAAGCATTAATGAATTTATTTAGGAAAAATATTAGCAGAAAATGCAAAGAAAAACTATTTTATTTATAATGTCTACATAACATTTAAATAAAATCAAAAGACCATGGAAAATGTTTCGAACATAAAAACTCGATCAAATCTACTACTGATAGAAATATACTTTTTGAGTAAGATTAAATTTTTGAAGCATTGTGATTCTCATCAATCACGCACAAATATGGTGTGAATAATATTCAAAAGCAGATTTTGTAAGAACCATAGATATCGTAGATTGTATCAATCCAAAGTTAAAAATATTTAAAAGGCATTCTTGATACCTACCGGCAGCGAGGAAATAAAAAGTTTATGGTAACGATCCTTCCATCTTATTTAATAAAAAACAAAATGACTCCTTATTTAAACGAGAATAACTTATGAATCTGCAATAAACATTAGTTAAAATTTATTTAAATGTCAATAATACTTTGGTTTATTTGGGGTTAGGAAATTCGAAGGGATTTCTGTGATAACGAAGGATTTTTCTTATGTGCAGCACATCTGTTTTGACCCAAGCAAATAAATAAAAACGAATGCCCATTTTAATAATTACTCACCTTTTTGTGAACGGTAACTAAATTAGATTGTTTTGATTTTTCGTTTAAAAAATTTCAGCTATTTAATTATCTGTATAATCTTATTTTTTTAGGTTGGCAATACCAATCAAAAATTTGTCTGAAAATAGTTGAAAATCGTAATACCAAAAATAAGAGTAGGGTTGATCTGAAGTTGAATTGCTCTAAATTCAATTTCACTGAGTGCAGTTGAAAACCATATTATTTTAATGCGGCAATAGGTGTAGCACTTTTCGATTTAACATAGTAATTCCGTTTCGATTGGTTTGGCAATACTTATGTTATGAATATGTATTGGGTTATAATATGAATGAACTAAGAAGACATTAGGTTAATAGTGCATGTATGTATACATTTTTGTCTATTGTATTTCCCATAAATTTAATGTTAAATATGTTGTGTGTAAGAGCAGACTATATTTCACATTCAAATTATACTTTAAATTTAACGGTTAACGTTTTCAATATTTAATACTTTAAAGCCACCGAGTCGATTGGATAATTCAGACCAAACTACAGGCCGTCATTTGCAAAGAGTCCTATATTATTCAATGACACCCTGCAGGAATCTGACAGGGCTACGAAGAACAGAATGCGCCTTACATGATGTTGACTGTGATGAAGTATATCCTGGTATTTATATTGGTGATGTGTAAGTACTAATAAAAAAATAAATTATATTTATGTGTAAGTTTTGTTTTTGTAAATGTAGTAAGCTACTGGTAATAGATGCATTGAATTTATTCCAGAATGAGTCTGCTTAAGTATTTGTATCTACTATCACATTGAATTCATTCATCGTATATCCTGTAATTTAAATATATAATTGGCCCGTCATCAATGTTAAGACCTACATATGCAACACAACATACATTTTACCTAAAATAAATTTAAATACATATTTACTTGTAGCAAAATCTGTGTTAAGCACAGTTGCTAATTTATGAAGACTCTATAATGATGCGGGTGTTATCACTATTTTTGGATGCTAATTAATTTAATCATATCCATATGTTTTACAAAAAATTGTTATTAACGTGATTAATATCGAATAGAATAAATATTTTCTTTATTATAGAGCTGCGGCGAAAAACAAATCATTTCTGCGAATGATGGGCATTACACATGTGCTAAATGCAGCTGAAGGTTGTCGCTACGGTCAAGTGGACACTGGTCATAGTTACTACCGCGATATGCCAAGCATAAGGTTAGTTTACATGAATGAGAAAGTTACTCACATGCAGTGAAATTAACACAATATTTTTTTTTATAAATAGTAAACTAAACAAACACAAGTAAGGAAAGACTAAGTTCGGGTATAACCGAACATTTCATTAGCTTGTAACTTGCGAGGATTAAAGCTGGGGTAATACTTTCAGGTTCATAAGGTTTGTTACTGCTTGTAAGGACAATAATGCACCGTTATTAGAAAAACACTTGAGTAAAATTTAATGTTTTGGCATATTTAGTTATTGATTTAGCGTGCTTTTAGTAGTTTTTAATAGTTATATGAGGAGTAAACGGGCCTTCAATTTAGAGTTTTATATATTAAATAAGTGTTTAGTTATGACACATTATGGGTTTTTGGTTAATAGCATTTGGGGGGCGTGGCAGTAGTCCGATTACGCCCATCTACGAACTGATACTTTTTATGACAAGGAATGCGGATACCATGTTTCATCAAGTTATCTCAATTTTTACTCAAGTTACAGCTTGCGGACACTAGGTTAATAGACAGACAGTCACCCAGATTTTAGCTGGTCTCGTTATCCTGATCATTTATATATCAATAGCCCTATATCTATCTCTCTTAGTTTTAGATGATACATACAACCGTTAGGTGAACAAAACTATTATACTCTGCAGCATTAAAACTAATAAATTTACCGTTAATGGCGACAACTTGTCCACGATTTTTGAATTCATAATAAATACCTCTAAATATGAGTAGTGTAAAAAATATTTTATACTTTTAACATTTTATTATTGTCACCAAAGTAATGTCTACCCTACTTCTTTTTAAAACATTAAAAATATCGCAATCGTGGGATTGAACGAAAAATACGAATCATTTCTTATTTTCTTAAAATTAAAATCTATTTGTTCTTTTTCATTACTGCATAATTTTGCCTTTGCTTTTTTAATACTGTGGTTGATATTTATTGTTTATTAATTAAGTTAACAATCAAAAATGTGTTATTGTGTTATATTTTATTGTGTTCGGTTTACCACATCATATGTATGTCACAAATTTTAAGCTTCTGCGATCAGAAATACCAATGTTATATGAAAAATTCGAAAAGACCAAGAAAAAAACATATCAAAGGGCATAATTTCGTTAAACAAACTAACGTAGCATCACTCATGTAAAAATAACAGTTTTTTTTTTTTATAACGAAGTTAGCCTTAACTTCTACGTCTTGTATATGTTTATTTTTATTGGTTATGTTCAATATGCTTTGGTAAGGTTAGTTTATATGGCTGATCAAAGATCGCATGTGGACTTCAATATGTGGTGCCTTAGAAAATAAGAACTCCTGTGTTCGAACTATAAATTAGCTAAACACTTAGTTGCTATTTAATAAAAATTTGTACAGGCGTTAAATGTCCATTCCCGCCAGCTCGGTGGGATGTCTAAAGGTATGCGAAAAACAACTTTTGCGACACGAGTAGACCAATGGTGATCCAGCGCTGACTAAGCTTCCGCAAGGCCTAGCTATTCAGTAGTAGAACGCAAGAGAATACAAGATCACCGACCCCCTCCCATTCTACCGATAGCGGTTCTAGGGTGCCTTGAACGCACTGTTTTTGAGTTTAAGGCTAGAATCGCCACTCTGTTATCTGAGTGGATGGTCCCTTTTTCTAAAGGAGGCCGCAACCCCGGTTTGGAAGGCACTGCAATAATCAGAAAGTCTGAAACTGCAGTTGATTGAGAGCTCCTGACAGTACTCCACCACTCCACCAACCTTACCCCTAAGCTTGGTGCCCATCAGCGAAGAAGCTCACTGCCCCTCTCCTCCAACGGCTTCTTCACACCCATAACTCCCTCGCTGGTAAATGAGTAGAAAAAGAGCCGACAGAGTTCGGTTTAGCGACTCCACGATCCAAGTGATTCGAGTGTTCAGCCTCGTGATCTTTTAGGAATTCAGCAGCTTACTCTTTTGTACCCGCAAAGTTTAACGATAGCTTCGAAGAATTGCAACATCTGCAAGGCACAGAAGCTTTAATTCCTGCAGACTGTTATTATTTTATGATAATATGCCTTTTGATAATTAATTGTTTAATAAATAATATTTAAACATTATCATCATGTTTTTGGCTTGAAATAATTTAATTTTTTCTACTACTTGTGTACGCAGCAATAATAATAATAACATGAAAGGTGAAAAACTTGCAACTGTTTAATTTCTTAATATTAAATTTTTTTATTTTTATACAAATAAAGATTCAGCATACGTTATTTTGTTTCAGAAATAAAATTCAAAATAATGTATTGTGAAAAATGTGAAAAATATTATTTTGGTAGATATGATTATTTGTCGAAAAAATTTAAAATCTTGCAAAGCAAAAAATGGGTCAAGCGTATTCGTTATATTTCTATAAATTGCTAAACCGCCAATTAAAAATCAATGAATATTAATATCTTTATTAATAGTAATCATTATAAATTAACCACATACATATTCACCCAGCGAAACAAAAGGCTCGTAGCAAGTAATTTTTAGAAATTCATTGTAAGCGGTTTTGAGTATTGCTCGAAAATAGCAGCACAATTAAATTTAAACAAACAGTGCGACGTTTTTTGGAAAAATATCGTACATCTGGCGAATTAGAAACGAAGAAAACTTCAGGAAGAAAAAGCAGCACTAGCTTTAGAGAACACCGCTCTAACTTAAAAATAAGTTTACAAGACCGATTCAAAAACGCAGACGAGATTAAAGCAGAGTTAAAGAAATCATTTAGCCGAAGAGGAAAACTGTAATGATTTCTGACGAAGCGATCATTAACCTTATTGGACCTGATGGTTATCAAACAGTTCGTCGCAGAAGTGGTGAACAACTATTCGCAGAAAATTTCATTCTTCATATTGAGTAACATTCCCCCTATATAATATTAAGGGTATGTATTTCTAAGGACAAATCGGAATCAATTTTAATATTAGAGAACTCAGTGAACGCTGAAAAATATAAAAATATTATAACGAAGGTGGTGGTACCCAGCTTGGTGCTCTTGAACATTTTTCACACCGTCATTTTTTTAAGTTAATTCGTTAATTTTGACATTTGAGATTGGAAAATTAAAGGAAGGTATGGGTATTATTTCATTGGATTTGCCATTAAGTGTTCGGATTATAAGAATACAGAACGTGTAAATGCTAATAAACCCTAAAATACTATAAAAAGGAACCCAAAACAATCGTTGAGGCAAACAATTCAAGCGTGATTCAAAGCAGTAGTTGCCGACTATACGTACATATGTATGTATATATAAGCGCATAAAACACATCCATCACAAAAAATATTACAAGTGTCATAAACGCTAAAGTTGACACTACAAATGAATAAAGAGATATAAAACAAGTTTTTTGTTAAAAAACTTAATTAATGCGTGCATTTATTATAACGAAGTATTACTACAAAATATTATAACATAAAAATATTAATGTCATCACTATAAGTTTGAAAAAAGTCTACCATTTTTGAGGGGAATGAATTCAACACTGAATATTTTGATAATTTTGTATACACATAAATACATATGTATGTATATTTGGGAAATATTGCACGTTTTGCTTTGTTTCGCTGGGTGTATAGTATATGCTACTAAAAAAAATATTAATGTCATCANACTAAAAAAAATATTAATGTCATCACTATAAGTTTGAAAAAAGTCTACCATTTTTGAGGGGAATGAATTCAACACTGAATATTTTGATAATTTTGTATACACATAAATACATACATATGTATGTATATTTGGGAAATATTGCACGTTTTGCTTTGTTTCGCTGGGTGTATAGTATATGCTACTAAAAAAACTCTTCAAAAATCTATATCGAAATTTAATAAAATTGTTTGGCTTTGTTGGTTTATCGATCTACAACCTTTTTTTTTATCACAAATCCCTATTTTTGATAAACAAAATATAACAACATTGTAGAAGAAACAACAAAGATACTATTTTCAGATATATGGGCTTCCCAATGATTGACGCACCTACAACAGACATATCCCGATACTTTTATGTCGCAGCGAAGTTTATTGATAGCGCAATTAGCAGTGGAGGTGAAAAAACCAAAATATACGATTTGTATATGTAACTAATTATTTTGCTTATTCTAGGGAAAATTCTAGTTCATTGCTTAGTAGGAATGTCAAGGTCCGCCACATGCGTACTCGCTTACCTGATGATTTGCCGAAAAATGACCGCCTCAGATGCGATACGAAAAGTTCGTATGCGTCGCGAAATTCGACCAAATGAGGGATTCCTGCAGCAATTAGCGGACTTGGATATGGAGCTTAAAAGGAACAAAAATTATCAATATTGAGTTTTCAAAACTTATTGACAACCTTTTTAATACAATATTCGAACGTTTAGTACAACTGGCGATAGAATTTAGAAACACTAATAAATGGATTCTAAAATACTAAAACTCATGTACATATATCTAAGATTTATAAAATTTTTAAAAGTACTCATATATCTAGTATGAAATAATAAGTATAATAGTTTTGTTGACCTAAAGTGTGTTTCTAACATCTAAAACTAATTTAAATATTTTTAATTAAAAATTTGGGGAAATGAGATGTTTTGTAGCTGAGCAAAATAAATTAAGCTACAACACCAGAGTAAATTATAGAGAAGGTCCAACAACGGTTCGGGGGAGAAATTTTAACGTGGCGCGTAAACACAACTGAGCATTGCATGAAGAAGTTTGCATTTATATTACACCCGTATTCTAGGCTTTTGGCTTATATTTTTATGTGTTTATATGCAATCATTTGTATTGTCTCAGTGCTACTGAAATAAATTACAACCTGGAGGTGAAGCTAATAAAAGAGCTTTAAAATTTAGATTATAATGTTATTTTTTTCAATCATCCTTCCATTTAATGTCGAAATGAAATTAAAACCCCATTATAATAATTTCCTTCCCTTTCGATGCCATAAATAACTGGCGTACCTAAATAAAAGCGTTGAGTGCCGCGTTTTTTAACACTTGGCGTCAATGACGACCCAACCTCCCTATAATAAAACGGTAATTTCACGACAAATTCTCACAAAATTTTCAGAAGAAATTAAATGAAAAAGGAAATACTATTATTAATAATACTAACGTGCATTTGTACAAGTATTAAATATCGCGCGAAAAGAAATTTTTCATAAAAAATACAATTTCTTCGTTTTCTGCAGCCAACTTTACTTCATAACGCATTGTCAAAATCGAATTTTTCAACGCTCAGCGTTGCTGCCGCATTTATTTATGTATGCGCATTAACAATCTATAAGACTATGGAATATTGAGAGTAATTTGCCGCTTTCTCTTTCATTCAGGGACAGCAGTAAGTCAGATATCGCAGTATACCATATATGAGAATATTACAATTAGGATAATGTTTTTTGTTGTAAAAAAAGAAAAATAATCATCTATCAAATATTGTATATTTGAAATGTTTAAATTTTCACCACATTGGCACACAGCTCTTACCAATTTCCAAACACTCCCTAAAGTAATTTTAAAAATATCGAGTGTAAGTCATTGAATCGAAGATTGTTATTTTGAATAAAATAAGATGGCAGCACTGAAGTATTTTATTCAATTTAGTTTAGACAGGGTAGTTGTGTTATTTGTGGGTATTGCTCGTTTCAATAACTTAGTAAAATAATATTGAAGTGATGGTTGAATACTATTGGTTTGGTGTCATATTTAAATTCATTTATTCATATTATTTGGATTACTAAACGGCATAATTCCAAATGTCTAGATGAAATATGCTGTTGCGTTGCTGCTCATGTAGTTTTGTGTCTAAACGAACTTAAATGGGCCCATGAATGGAAGGAAATAAAGAGACTTATATGTATGTAAGTAGATGTACGCATGGAAATGAACAACAATATGAGTTGTTATATATCATATAGCTGTCGCTGACTTCTAGTTTTTAAGACATTTGAATTGAAATTTCAAAATCTTTACCAGGAGAATCTTCTACCTCCCTATTCGCCGATACCCAGCTTGTTTCCGAATTCGTGGGATACTATACCAGATATCAGCCTTTATTTTATGTTGGTTGGTCCAACGCCAGAATGTCTTCAATTTTTTCACGTAGAACTCGTCCTTCATAATCTGTTAAGATTTCTTTGTCCTTCCATACCCATTTTTAAACCGAATTCGTGGGGGTCCCAGTCGAAAATATTATTTTAATATTATATTTTCAAACAAATATCTCAAAATGTTTGCTATTACATGAATTAAACAATAAAGAATATACTTATACTGAGGACCCGTCCACGCTTGATTCATATGTAGATAATACTACTACCATCTATATAATTTCTATTAGTTGGATTATAACTATTAGTTAATGCATTTCGTGTGTTAACAAAGCATTGCTTTTCGTCGGTATATTTGCTAAGCTGGAAACAGGCGAAAAGAGCACCGAGGACATCGATACTCTAAAGAGTCAAAAGCTCTTTGCAAAGTGGGTAACTCGCAAGTTCATAATTCATCAAAACCAACAAATAACTGATGCTGAGAAGTGTTTAAGTGCTCTTTAATTGTAATAAAACCCAATTTTTGCGTGGGTGTATGACAATATCCATCCATCATTTCTGACTGGAGTCCAATCGACAGTCATTCTAGTGGCCCGCACATGATGAGCCGGTTCTCAGGCGTGGAAAGACGCGACGAAAAAGTCGGCTGAAAAGGTTATGACATCAGTCTTTTGGGATGCACATGGTATAATACATACTCAACGACTGATTCTGAGCCAGTTATAATCTATTATATAATCTATTTCACTGCGTATTTGATGGCAGTTCTCAAATGATTCCTACAAACATGCATTTTGTGCAAATGCTTATGATTTAAAATATAATTTTTGTATTTATGAGTTGTATTAAATTTTAATATTAAGAGATAAAAAGTATCCTATGTCCTTACCCTGGTTCTAAGCTACCTCCAAACCAATTTTCAGCCATATCGGTTCAGCCGTTCTGAGTTATAAACGGTGTAACTAAGAAACTTTATTTTATTAATGTATGTAGATTAATGTTAAAAATTAGATATATATGTACATACATGTAGACATGTGTATGTACTACTAATATATAGACCCGACCACTACACTGTATAGTGAAAATATTACAAGCATAGTTTTAGAAATATCTATATTTATTTATTTGTTTATTTATATTAACTTTTAGCTAAATTTTACCAAAAGCATTTCAGTAGGTTACTAGTTTACTCCGAAGAAAGAACTAAGGTCATGTTATCTTAAGTTGTACAGATTTTTTTTTTTAAAGTTAATCAATTTTCTTTACTTAGTGTTTAAAGCATGTTCATATAGTATAATAAACTTATAGTTTAAACTTTTTTAAACAAGTTATTTCCATATTTTACGTTTTATATGTTTAACAATAGAAAACATAACAAACCAAAATAAATTTATTTTTTAAAGAAATTCTTAGTATTTTGTGTGTGTTTCCTAATAAAATGTTATTTTGCCCACTTTAGCTGCTGTTTCTTCATTCGGGTAATGAGAATTGTTTTTTTGACTAAGCGTCGCGTTCGTAGTCGAATATGGATATTTTGCATAGAACGTGTTCCATCATGTTGAAAGCGATGAGTAATGCACATCCGTTTAATTTGTCGTTCATGACGAGGGGGGACGCCCACTCCCTTTGTTCGATTCAAAGAATTAACATTCGTATAATTTTTAATAATATTGCGCTCACTCTAATCACTTATGCCCTTTTCATGAGCTATTTGACGTTTGGATAATTTATTTGTATATGAAGCTATGATTTCTGTCTATGATTTACAACAGCATGTTTAACATATTTTTACAACTGGCTCAAAGGAAAATAAGGCAAGTATCGAGTTACACACATACAGAGACTAAAGGTTTCAGAAATAACGGTAAGCTAATGTAGTTACGTAATAAAAAAGTCAAACAAGGCACATTATTTTGAGCGAAACAGGAAATTTTCGACTGTGTAGGTTTTTTCTCTGAGTGTACATTTTACCATATTACCTCGGTCGGATAAAATGCGGTTTTCCTCGAGCTTCTTAAATTAATATTGGGAAGCTTTCTAGTTGTTCGAAGAGGATGGTATTGGAGATGAGCAAGATTGTACCATTGGATAATAATATTACCTAGCTTAATAAATATATATTTAACATTAATTTAATACAATTGCATGAATGTATGTTTTCAAGTATTCTTCAATTTAATGCCTACAGTAAATACAATTTTGGATTGCTATAATATAATTTTTATGGAACAATACCCCTTCAGATATTTTCCAGGTAAAAATGCAGACTGGAATTTATAAACAGAAAAATACCGGCAGTCACTCGGACATTAATCCAACCTTCTCACCTGGCAATGAATTGGTGGCATTTAATAGTGAAAAAATCAATTACCTTTGTGAAGGTGTTGATCTTATATTAAAAGATCGACATAAATGGCACGGAGATCGAGGCGATTGGGATGTGCAAAATGGAAACCAGGTAAATCTCTGTGCACCTACTCATTGTCATAATAGGCACACTTAACACATTTTTATATGACAGGTGAAATGGTCACGTAACAATATCACTGCGACAATGGAAAGATTTGAACCTATAGGTGATCCTCTTCCACCTCCACCTTCATCTACATTTTTAGATTATGGACTTGCTGCCACCGTAGTGGCCGCGATTAAAAAAGAAACTGATGATGTGCAAATTGTAAATCCTTTCAATGGAACATCTAAAGATTTTGAGTCCCTGGGCGCAGTTGGATCAGTAGATCACGTTTATTCGTACGCTTATTATGAGCCTCGGGTAATGAAATGTAATTCAAATATTTCTCAAAAAGATATAATAGAAAAATGTAAGAATGAACACATCAGTTCCCGACAAAATGAATCAAAGGGGTTTCGTTTTAAAGCAAGTTGTGAGCAGAAAGCATATTTGTGCTTGGAAGATCATCATAGTTATACAACTCATTATGGAACAACGGAAAATTTGTATGAAGAAGTTAACGAAAAAAATGTAAAACATGTACTTTGTGATAATAATATATCGATATCTGCAAAAAACGTTAAAGAAGAAATTTTACAAGTACAACGTAACCACTTCCGAGTAATAGAAGAGCTTAATTTATCACTGGAAACTTTTATTATGCCTCCTAACCTGACCCCTAACAACATAGAGGAAACTGCAGAAAGTATTGTGCACTGTGGAGGTGCTGAAAGCGATTTGTCGTCGACTGTCGAAACCTCAAATAAATTATTAAATCCGAAACGTTGTAAATCTGGTTTGATAGGAGGACCTTTATCTTCCTTATCCATATCAGATCATCGCAGAAAAATTTCAAGTACAAGCCTTGAAGATATTGTAGAGACTTTTCAATCTATGGACGTAAAAGATAATTCTCAAAATTCTTCTAATAATGTAGAATTCGATGAAGAAGATTTGGACAGTGGATTTAGTGGTAGTGTTATTAGTAGCGGGGCTAGCTACAATGAAAGCTTGCGGTACAATAAAAGTAGAGGTGCGCCGCAGACACGCAGCAATGCCTTTTCTAAAAGCTCGTGTTGTTCATCCCCACCTTCGAATGAGTTTTCCATAAAAAATAATGTGACATCTCAACAATCTACCTCTGTAACAAATAAACGATTTTGCGAAAATTTTCTCCCAAGGAAAAAAGGGCATGAAATAACTCCATTTAATAGTTCCCATCGTTATTCGGATATGCATCATTTATATATTCGTTCAACACCAGAAGCACTTTCAACTGGTTCTAAATCTGGAAGTAGCTTTTAAACTGAAAATTTGTGAAGTTGTTGTAAGTAGATCATGTTAATCGTATCACAAACTGTTTTATTACCTTTTGCAAACAGAAGAATCTAATAAATAGAGCGAGCTGGATAATGTCAACCAAATTTTTCGTTCTCCTACTGATAAGACTGCTATTCTAGCTCATCTAATTAAAAGCATAACAAAGTAAGAAAAACGTCAACTTCGGCTGCAAGGAAGCTACACTATCCTTCATAGGTACATTTCTTGTAGTATAAAAGTACGGTTAAACATATAAATAGAAATTCACGATATTTGCCTATTGATATGAGATAAAAAATGTGTCGATTTCTATCGATCTTCTAGCTGCCTGTTTCTTAGCTTGCCTTTCTACACAAACTCGTGTCCGAATAGGGAGTTTTGCTCCTCTCAACATAGCTTGATCCTGCCTTCTCATCAAATTTTACAGGACAAAGTTTTTTATAGCTTATTTTGGTTGACGAGTTTCGGTGAAACTCGAAATAAATTGTATATAAAATGTTGCATTACTTTGCGCAAAATATGCATGTGCTAAAAATACTGCTGCTTACGGCAATGAATTTTACAACAAAATGACATACATATACATATGTATATGTTTGTATGAATAAAAATAAATAGATATTTTTCAAATATTTCATCTAGATAACTGTACTTTAAAGAAAAATTTTTTTTTTTTAATTTAGCGAAACTTAAAATAATCTTTTCGTGTTTTAGCGTCAGAATATTTCCCAGCACCTTTCAATTAAGGAAGTCGTATAACGAGTATTGCAGGTTAACTGAAGGACGAGGGTTAGTTTGAGAGCATCTTATTATTATCTAGGAAAATGTTAGACTTTGAGTAAACTATTCGATGGAGCTGTGCACAGAATCAAGAGCCCGCCATCACCGTATCATCAAGCAACAAGTATTTTATATCTACCGATAAACATATATGTATATTTAACACTTTCGTCCAAAATCAAAAAGTTTTTTTATGCTTATTTCTTTACAGACAAATGATAATATACATACATAATTTTTAGAGTAAAATAAAGTAATATTTTTGCTGTGTGTAAAATTTGTTGGATGCTGCTTTAAAAATTTCAGTGAAACTATAGGGGCTATGGGGTAACCATGTTACTATGATTGTTCCATTCCCGCGACAGGCGGGTTGTTATTGTATTTATCATAACGGTGTTCAGGTTTTCTGTGAACCTTCTAGGGTCGAATAACACTCCTATGAATTAATTTTAGTCTTTTCGTAACTAATAATAAATAGTTTTCTGTGACTTGAGCGCACAAAGGAAAATTATTACTTTTTAACGCACTATGTATTTGTATATCACATTTGTAATATATATTTAAATACTTTTACTGTTTATAATTTTATGAAGAATTAAATACTCCGCAATACGCACTTACAATACCAATACAATTTTGTTTGTACTTTTTTTTTTCAGAATAAATACAAAAATGAAAGCGCGCATTTTTATGATGGGAGGAGATTCACTCTGTGTTATATTCCACTTGAGTATTATTGAACTATAATAAGCTTAAAAAAGTATCTAGTTGTATGAATGTGGAAAAATTTAGAAACCCGTAAAAGCTATATTTGTATTTATTAGCAAAGTAAATATAAGTAAATTTTAAAATAAATATAAAGAAATAAGATAATTATTTTCTCAAAATAAATAAATAAACCAACAAAAAAATCCGAAAGAATCTGAATTTTAACGATATAACAAATGTAAGTATTTAAAAACTGCCTTAAAGCATCAATGTAAATTATCTCGAAACTGTAAATGGATCACATTCAGATTTATTTATTGTGATATTTGGATGTGATCCACTTTGATGACTGATGGATCGCAAGTGAATGTTACACGTTCTATAATTGTCAAGTCTGCATTTACTTAAAATAAAATAAAAAATAGTTTTGCTTCATTTTTTGTGATTTTTCAAGGCCTAAAGAAAACTAAAGAATTTAAATGTCTATTCAATATTCAAAGACAACATTAGATGTAAAAAGTAGCAAACATTGGAAAGAATTCACCGGATCATCAAAAATGAAAAAATTTTTATTTTTTATTTATTTACATATATATACAAGCTTACATAATAATTAATTATTATCTAAACTAAAGCA